AAGGAATCTATGCCTCAATTTATTGGTTAACTGACTGTGGTGCTGGGAATTTAGTTCAAGGCCTTGTGCATGCTGGGCAAGTGTTCTACCACTAAGCCACAGCCCTAGCCCACGGCTTTTTAAAAAAAAGGATGAAATGATAATATGTATGGTAGGGCTTCAAAAAATATAAAGCAATGCTACTATTATAAACATTATAGGTATTGAGCAGTGATTACAGTTATCAGCACTGTAAATTAATTTTCTGAAGAAACTGGTACTTGTTTGGGGCTAATATGAGTAGATACCCCAACTTGCTTGGGCTGTTGCCTAACTTGTAAAAGATGAACAAGGAACATTTCATGCATGGAGTCCTTAGACTGTTATGTATTTTTTAAAGTAAGCTCACAAACCTTTTCTCCTGGATTAGATCCACAGTCTAGGTGAAGAGTCCTGAAACTGCTAGCTTTCAGAACAAAACTATTTCCTTGCTCCATCTTTTCATTGTTTAATAAACATTTTCAAAGGAGCATAAACTGCTGCACCACTAGCTTTGTTTAGCATAAAGGTAATACAGAAAGCAGCACAGCATTTTACAGTTCCTCCTTAGCCTAAAGAGCCACATATCTTACAGCCAAGTTTCCATCAAAAAAAAAGGAAGAAAAAAGAAAAATGTCAACATAATACATCAAGTGATTGCATCTGTTTATGAAAGCCCACACACGCGCACACACACACACCCTCACAAAGTTGTATGAAAACTATAAGCTTATGCCAAAATATCCTTTAAAAAGATGGGTTTCCAAGATAAAACTGGATAAAATGTAAGCACTCTGACATCTGATCAAATTCTCCAAAAGGAATTATACCTATAGATACTTGAATTTTAAGTCTTTACTATTGCTAATGTTATACATAATCCTTGTGCTATATAAGTTGAAAGATTTTACCCTAACTGGAAAATCAGCAGACACCCAATAGGTTTTAGTAACTAGAAGTCAGTCTTGGCTTGATTTTCAGTCAAAAAAACCAAAAAACCAAAACAAAAAACCAGATTCTCCAATAGAAAACATATTTTATAACTGAAAATAGTAACTGATTCATTTTCTAAAGCAAATTCCAATTAATATTTAAAAAAGACAAATGACTCTGATTCTATTACACATCATAGAGCAAATAAAAATATTTTAGCCAAAACAGAAGTTTTTGAGTTTTGTTTATTAGGTACTCTGTTCCCTCAGATGCTAAATAATTACTTTATTAAGCAGATTGAGGGGAGACTCTGCTGTCTTCATGAATAAACTACCTTATCAGCTTGGAGAAGATAAATCTCAAGCACAAACTGTCCATTTGAATAAGAAAAATGAAGTCTAACTAAAGGTACCACGATTAACAAAATAGTTTTGGTTTCAGGAATTGCGCAGACAGACTGGCCGTTACAGGAAGCTGTATTAATGCTGACAATGTTAAACTGTTTACAGAAACTAGGAAGTTGTGGGGTGTTCCTTCCACTGTCACACACACTGTCTTGTCCTATACAACCAGCACTGGTTATACTCAATAAGCAATTGTAAACAAAATCCAGTTGGCAGTGACTCCCAGCCATTTTGCTAAGTTTGATCCACACTGCCAATTACTGCATATCCCAGCCAATTCTTGACCTATTTCTTCAGTCACCAAGTTATCAAATTCCCTGTTAAATGGGAAATTTTTCTAAAGACATTAGTGCAGTGGCAAGCCTGAATGCACAGCTAAAGTAGGGTATTACGAATATTTAATCCAACATTAAGAGAGACTACTTAAGATATATTATCCTCACTGTGCTAGTTTACACATAGAAAGGTACCCTGAGATTTAAGAAGACCATGAATCTTGTATTTTCCTTTTCCACAGTATGCTATTTAGTTTACCCATAAGGGAACTAAACAGAAAGGGAAATGTTTGCCTTTGGGAACTTGAGAAAGAAAGAAAATGGTTTGTATCTAAAGTTATTACTAACAAATGAGTGGCCTTCTGAGGTATCACTACCTAGCCCTTGTCCAAAAAATTGACTAAAGGGCAGTCAGTCACTCATGCAAAATGTAAGTTACAGAGAACCTTAAAAATCACCAGTATTTGTTTTTAAATTTTAATTTGCATTAAGGAGTTTAAAAAATCAATCATTAGTTGAAACAAAAAGACTTAACTTCAGTTACTATATCTGTGAACTCCTCCCATTTTCCAATATTTTTCTATCCAAAATTCAAACATATGCGTTGTTAAATATAATAGAAAAACAAAAATTTTAAGAAAACAAATTATGGTTATATAACACAAAGATCTCCCATTTCCTGAAAAAAAAAAAGCAACAAATTAGTATTTAGGAGTACAGTAACTTATATTTCCCAGAATAAACAATGCAGAATGTTTCTCTTTTTTTCTAGAAGACACTTTGTAGTTCAGAATGTCTGAAAGATTGAAGAAATAAAGTTAAGTCCCAGGCCTTATTCTAATGGAAGAGAAAAAGACAAAGCATTCCAAAAGAAGGTTCCATGTTAATGAGGAGCCAAACAGAAAAGTAACTCTAATGCACATGCCGGCTAAGATGAGTATAAGTAAGGACACGTTGGAGACCACAGGGCACACAAATACATTGAGTCTGCATTTGAGGCCTGAGGAAGCTCCAGAGACGTGGCCCATAAGGCATGGGGTAAGCTAGAGGAGCTGGAACAAATTCATCCAAATCACCTATGGCTGTATGGTACAAATACAAATCACTGGGTCTCATCTCAGATTCCTGAGCCAGATCCTCACGTGAAGGAAGTTTGGGAATCTGCTCATTTTAATAAGCATTCCAGTTAAATCTGATGCAAGGGACCCATGGACCACATTTAATCACATTAAAATTTGATTACTGCTCCAAGGGAAGGGTAAGAGCTAATGTAGAGGATATGATAAAGAAAAATCCTGACAGAGATACTATATGAAGAGAGCTATGGAAGCAGAAAATCAGGGCATGTGAGAATTAAAAAGGTTATAGGAAACATCCAATAGCCTAATGAAATATTGTTGGAATCACCATGCCAACCACCACAGAAAACCCAGAGAGTAAAAATCGTTAATTCAACTTAATAATCAAGCACCTACTACATGTGCCAAGTACGATAAACAATGCCTAGATACACCCAGGAGAAGAAAAATCCCCATCATCAGTTTAAAATTAGATCTTGTCCTGTTCTTTTCTGGTCTCTCCACTTTTTATCAAAAAGAAAGTATTTCTGAACTTTCCTTTTTAAGCCTTTGAGAACTTGTGCCTCGAAGCACTAAGTGGCTCACGTCAAGAACATGGAGGTCCTTATCCTGAGTAGTTTTACCTATTTGCTCTTAATGAAAAAGAAACTTAGGGATCTGTCTCAATAATGATGATCCTTGATAGGAGGCTAAAATGTGAAAGTCCAGATTTTTTAAAATTTCAGAAGAAATGGATACAGAACTTTCCCATAGGGAACTTTCAGGTATACAGATGTTCACCTATTCATTTAATATGTACTGGATGCTTATTACAAATGGCTCTTTCCTCCCCTACACCTTGGAAAGATGAATAATAGCTTAAGGTGCAAAGTGTAGTATGTCTGAGAAAAATAAACTAAGGAGAATGAGCAACACCTATAACCTGGAGGGATGGTGCAGGAAGATGAGAAGGGACATGGGAAGGAACCCAGCCAAGCAGGTCCATCACACCTAACATAACAATACTGACCAAAGATCAAAAACCAACCAGAACTCTGGGAATTGGATGAGAGTCACTTGTCAAGTTAAATTCATAATATTCAACATTGCCAGCTACTCAGTTTTAACAGAAATGAGCCAGTCCCTTTTAGAAATGAACAAATTATTTAACAAGACATATACATGAAAGAGAACTATGCAAGACAGCACATAATCAGTTGCTGGTTATATTGTACATATAAAAGCCATAATTCGGAGAGAATAAAGATTAAGATGTTAGTTTAAAAAAAGATACCATGATCACTTTTCCAGAACTCTGAAGAGCCGAGACTGCCTCTGAGCACAGGCTGGTGGCTGTACATCCTAGTGTAGCCACACCCATAAACGTGGATCATTTTAATGTGACAACATCAAACAACTTTCTGAGACCTACTTTTAACTGTCACTTTATTTTAATTATACTACAGTAGCACACTTCAATCTGAACTACCTCCAAATTGCATACAGACTAGATTGCTACCATTGACAGAATCTTTCTGGTCTTTGGCAAATAAATCGAGAATACAATCAAACATTTAAAATTAAATTACAAAAAACACTTCATTAAAAATCTGTCTCTATTATTTTTGTATACTTAAACCTGTAATGATCAAATTATTTCTTTTCCATCCTTTTTTCAATCCTGTGTAAGGGCCAAGAATTTTATAGTCAGTCTTGTTCAAAACCAAAGATGAAAAATAAGTATAAAATAAAATCTGTTTCCCATGTGAAACAGAGGCACAACAACAAAAGAAACTAGTATTTTGTATTTAAATAAGGAACACTATAAAATTTGTTGAGGAGCCTTAAAAAAAACACAAAATGCAAAGATTAAACTATATTTAGTCTTAAACATTAAAGATTCTAATCTCTGTATCAAACTAATCTGTATTATGAAGTGATTAAATAGTATGCTTAAATAACTAGGCTCAGTTACTAAACTCTTATTCCAAGAATAAAAGGTCAAGTTCTGTAGGATAAATACTATTACTATGGTTAGGAGAAAATTAATTCCAATAAAATAACAAAATTAAAAGTGCCAAAGGAAATCACTGTAACGTTACTTTCAAAAAAGAAAAATGATCAATATTAATAGGTTCATTAAATCTATGCAGTTTACTTGCTTAGGAAAAGCTCAGACAGCAATACAAATATCTAAGGCTACAATTTTGGATAAATACATTATATTGTGGAAATCAGTTAAAAAGTGTGCTAACTCATATTACTCAATGTCATTAAAATAAAACCACATTTTAAAAGAACAAACATCTTACCAGCTGGAATTCTCTACGCCGGTCATAGGCATTCTGTATGCCGCTGTCCGCCCATAAGGCTCTTATAGCAGGAAGATATTGTAAAAAAACTCCAGTTTCCACCATTCCTTTTGCAGCCATGGGAGCCCGGGTATCAAACGCCATCAACTTGTCTCCATGGAGCTGGTTGTCATCATCTCCCCAAGGGATATGAAGCTTCTCTCGGGCATCTACCAGCACTCTCATACCTTTGTTTAAAAAAAGTGTGGGAAGAGTCATTAAATATTATCGTGAAGTTTTATTCCAGCATAATAATCTTAAATTTTAAACTACTCAGACCCATCTCCTCCAAAAACAGAGACAGATATCAAAACACCCTTATCATTAAAAAACAAAGTGCCCACCATGTTAAAACTGGAACTGTGAAAAATAAGTACTATTAAAGCAACTGTTCTTTCTGAAAAATTTTAACATGTTGCAATTCATAAAATAATTTCTGGGGCAGAAGGTGGTTAAAACCAACCTGGGGGGCGGGGGGAAGTCATACTACACAGCCCAATACCCAGGCTCTGAAGACAGCTGCAACCCAGAATGCATGAGCTTGCCTAAAAGACAATTACTTACGGAACCCTAAGAAAAACATTACTGCGTTCAGTTTGTTCACACAGCACCCTACCCCCAATACCAAGTCTTCTAGAAATACATTCAAGGTTCAAAAATTTCTTCCAAATCAAGCTTCAAATCAGTGAAGGTCACAGGATAGGGTTACATTTCCCTAAAAGGGAGGAGTACCAACTGAAAAAAGACCGAAAAACAGATTTCAACTCACAGAGGTTAGTTCAAACTCAGTGTCTGTATCACTAAACTGTTACTTTTGGCCCCTGTTAACAGTCTATTAGGAAGTCATTTGTTTGGATAACTGGAAAACCATTTTCCTTTCAATTTTCTGATCATGCCAACTCAAAATGCTGGATGGCTAATGACTTATTTCCAATGCTCAAAGTAGGTCATACTCAGGACCCAATATGCATTAAGAACCAGGTGTTCACCTGGCTCATGGTTAACGTGTTGACTCTATTCATTAATGTAATTCCTAAAGTTCAACTACCCTAGGGGATATAAAGTATCTGAAAAAAAGCAGTCTGAAGCCTTCAAAGAAACTTTAGTTTTGTGCTAAATGTGAAGGCAGGCCAAATACAACAGTCTTTTACAGGTTAACTGCAGAGGTACTAGGGCTGGGAGCTGGCAGACGCCTGTGGGCTCCTTGGCCTACTGTCCTTGCAAACGACCCCAAATGCCTCCCTCTCTAGGCAGTTTTTCTCTACTCAAAATGGGGGGGAAGGTGACACACAGGTGACACTGTTTCAAAAGACCTGCAAAACCCTAGATAACACGCTCAGCAAATAAAGGAAGGAGAATCTTGACGCACATCAAGTACCAAGTGCTGTACTTCAACTATGCCAAGTATACCTGACACTATGAAAACTAAGAACTGACTCCTACTGACTCCTTAAAGATAAAACCATCTTTTCTATTTCTTTGAATGCCCAAGAATAAAGACCTTGTGTATTTTTCACTTAAGAATGATGTTTAATTTTAAAAATACTATCAAAACAAGAGTAGAGCATATTAGCCAACCCAACATTGACTCATTGACTCCACCTGTAGGGGATCCATATCACTTTCAGGCCAAAGGGTCTTCACACTACCAAGCAATCTCATTTATACAAAATTGGTGGGATCTCTTTTTCGCCTGCCTCTAGCAAAAAAAAAAAAAAAAAAGGAGTAAAATGGTGATTATAGACAAGCATCCTTTAACACTGGGCCTAAAAACCGCTCCTGCTAATCTTTTTTAGACTAACTGTATGGGTCCACCCTTTCCCGAGGCCAGTACCGTAAACTTGACAACCTCAAATTTCATACCCTTGCCACCAAAGGTACTGCTCTACGCCTTTGACGAGGCTCAACAAAAGTTTCTTCCTTGCGATGATTCCAGAACTCCCTTGCTCAGGAGGCGGCCAAGCAAACCTCGAGTTGGGAGCGCCCCGACCTTGTGACTCGGGTCACCCACCAAGGGCAGCGAGGTTTGGGGAGGGGGTACTGGGGTCCAAGGGTCAAGGGCTGTTCTCAGATCTCCCGCCTAGTCTGCATGGAGGAGGAGAGATCACCCCGCACCCCAGACACCCGGCTCGGCTCACTTCCCTCTCGGAGGGGGCGAGGCCCGCGGCGGGGTGTGCAGTTGGCCATGACCCCCACCAGGGCAGAAAGAGAAAAAGGGGCGCACCCAGGGACCCTCTTGCGGGGGGAGAGGGTACCCCGGGTGGGCAGGACCGGTGCCCCGGGCGCGCCCCCCTCCCCGGCCGTCCATCCGCCCGACCCGGTCCTGTCCTCCGCCAGGGACAGGGAGGACGAGGGCGGTGCCCGGCCCCGCGCCCGCCGCCGCCGCCGCCGCCGCTCCCCGGCCCCGGCCCGGCACCTTTAATCACGTTGCTGCAGATGGTGGGGCGGAACTCCTCGCGCGCCCGCTGGTCGAAGTCCTGCCCGTGGATGATCCGCATCTGCTTCAGGAAGGTGGACTTGCCGCTCTCGCCCGCGCCCAGCAGCAGGATCTTCACGAGCCGCTTCACGTAGGTCTTCTCCCGCGACAGGCATTTGTCGATCTCCTTGGACTTGCGCTGCTGCTCGGCCTCGCCGCTCGTCAGCACGCAGCCCGGGAAGCACACGGACAGCACGGACCGCGACGGCAGGAAGTCCGCCATCTTGCCGCCGCCGCCGCCGCCTGGAGGGTCCCTCCGGCTCCTCCACCTCCTCCTCGGGCGGCCGGCGGCTCCGGCACCGCGGCTCGAGGGCGGGGAGCGCGGCGGCGGCCCGAGCGCGCCGGGGAGGGAGGGAACCAGCGAAGTGACTCGCGGGGCTTGGCCGGGTAGGGCGGGCCGGGCGCGCTGGAGAGGGAGGGAAGAGGGCGGGAAGAGGGCGGGCCCGAGAGGGGCGGTGGCCCCGGGAGCGCGCCTCCCGGGAGCGCGCACGCACACACGCTCCTCCCCGCCCGGCGGCGTCGAGTCCCACGCTCGCTGTCTCGCTCTAGTGCTTGCAGCAGCTGCTGGGCGCGCGCGAGGGGCACCGGGAGCCGCGGTCACGTGCGCCGGGCCTGACCCGCGCCAGCGAGCCCTGCTTTCTGTTTCCCTTTAGTTGAGCCCACTTCCGCAAAGAAGGGCTCCATCTCCAAGCCCGAGAGGTGGGAGACCGGATCGCGGCACCTGCCCGTGGGGCTCCCTTTCTTTCCGGTTACTCCCTCCGCCCTTTCTTTGGTTGCACGCCCGCTGCCTGCAGTGACCTCCACGCGCCCTATTCCGAGGCCGCTGGCTAGAAAATTATTTCAACGGCCGGCCTGAGCCTGGAAGGTTTTTGGTGCCTTTTCTTAAGTTGACTCTTGACATTCTGCTCTCTCAAGTCCTTACATGTAACTAACTAGACATCCATCCCTCCCCTTACTCCCAGCCCTTTATAGCATTTTCTAACCCCTGCAAGGGCCTTTGGTTGAGGCAAAAGTCATTGTTCGTCTGAGATGTGGTCGTTTATGTCTCGCTCGTGTGCATTCCCACTCGAGCTGCGTTATGATTTCAGTAATGGTGAAATCAGTGAGTGGTGCGGAGGGTGAGGTCATGGTGAAAATCCCCCTAAACCGGACACTGTGATGCAGATTCTTCCCCACGAGGAAGCAGATAAGCAAACAGAGCCCTGCAGCAGGCAAATTTTAGGTTTCCTGCCAGATTACAGAGGATATGACCAACAAGAGACTTTTTTTCTTCTCTCCCAACAGCAGATTGAGGCCAGGAGACCTGAAAGGCCTACCTGGAAACAGGTGACAAGTGACAGCTGGGTTGGCAGGGTGACTGCTAGCAAGGACTCCAGAAGCTGACTTTTGTTTCATTCTTAGTACAATATTAGTTACAGGCAGAAAAACCCAAAGGTTTTGGCAGTGCGACCTAATGCTCCTTGGTTTGGGCTCCTGTAGCTTAGAAACTTCTCTTATGGTAGGGAGTTGGGGTAAGAGGTCATAAGGCTGTGAGGCTTATGAGCAAGTTTAAATTTAAAAATCAGTGCTAATCAGTTACTGTCTGGGGTTGGGTTCATGACTGAGAAGTCTCATGACTCAGTACATTGGCTGCAGTAAACAATGCCTGTAGTTGGATAATCTCCTGCTGTGCTGGCCAGGCCCACTCCCTTGACAATCCACAATCTCCAAAGGGGCAGGATCATCCCTAGTGTCTGGATGACAAGGGTCAGGGTTGCCATGCAGTATTGTGGGGCCAAATGTATGGTAAAAGCCTGGGTGGAAGGTGTGTGTCTGGACTAGTGTTAGAGAGGCCTTGCTCTTGAACCATGAAAAGTCTAGCCTCTGCCCAGGACAGAGACTTAGCACCAGCCCCCAAAGCCGTTTTGCCTTGACTCCAGATGCTGACCGAACTCTGCAGCAAAGACAGAGAAGGTGAGCCTGTAAGTTAGGCTAGTTAACACTCCCCACCAAGTGTGTGCAAAGTAATGGAAAACCAAGGATGCCTACGAGACAGGAAGGTATTCCTGCCCAGCCAGTTCATGTTGGAACAGGTAGAGAAGCAGGGAAGCTGTTCAGGGCCCTGAATGGAACTTTATTTTGGAACAAGCCTGACTCAGACTGAGCCCAGCTACTCATTCTGAAAAAGAGACCTCTTTGGTCCCTGCCGGGGTTTGTCTGTAGCTATCCTACTTTTATCTAGCTGATGATCAAGACACTTTGTAAGTTGTAAGCATAGAATTAGAGTTTGGTGGTTCCTCACAAAGTTAAACATGGACTTGTCATGTGATCCAGCAATTCTACTCTTACTCCAGAGAACTGAAAACAAAAACTCGTATGGCTATGATCATGGCAGCACTGTTCAGAATAGCCAAAAACAACCAAATGCCCGTCATGGAATGAATAATATATACATACAATGAGAGTATTCAATCATGAAAAGCAATGAAGTGGGCTGGGGATATAGTTTAGTGGTAGAATGCTCACCTATATGAACACCTGGGTTCAATCCCCAGCACTACACACACAAAAGAATGAAGTACTGATACATAGTACAACATGAATGAACTTTAAAAATATGCTGAGATGGGCACAGTGTAACAGACCTGTAATTCTTGCGTTGAGGGAGGCTGAGGCAGGAGAATTACAAATTTGAGTCCCACCTAGGCAGTTTAACAAGACCTTCACTTTAAAAGTCTAGGAATGTAGCTCATTGTAAAGCAATTCTGGGTTCAGTTCCTACTACTGGGGGGAAGGAGGGGAGTTTTGCTCAGTGAGAAAAAAGGCCACATATATTATGGAAATGTTCAAAATAGGCGAACCCACAGAAACAGAAACCAGATTAGCGTTGCCAAGGGCTGGGATTGAGGGAAGAATGAAGAGTGAGTGCTTCACGGATACAAGATTATCTTTGATGAAAATGTGTTGGAACTAGATAGTGGTGATGGTTGCAGAACCCTGAATGTAGCAAATGCCACCGAATTGAACACTTTAGAATGGTCAAATGATGACTTTTATGTTATAGGAATGTTACCGCGGTGAAAAATAAATATGGGAAAAATACTTTCCATAGATAGTCATTGGCATTATTTAACACTGAAGTTCCCACAGTATGCAAGATCTACTGAATGAAAGTACCATTGCATTTATTTTTATATGCTCACAATTATTTGCACCAGAAGTAATCTTCAGGTTATACTGAAATGATATTAGTGCTGTTTTAATTTTCAGTTGCATCATTTCATAAGTGAAAAAAAAGCCTAAACTTTTTAAGGGAGTATGGAATCTGTCTACTGATTAGAATCGAATTTTCTGGGTGCTGTTTCCAACAGATCCAGATGTCAGTTCATCAGAAACATCTGTATTGTTGCTAGCCAGTTAATCCATATGTAAAAGGGATTTAGATGCCCCCTGGAGCTGTGTTAAAATGATAGGAACAGTTGATTTGTTGCAGTGTTCTTTCTGGAAACTCAAAATTTAATAGTAAACAGTTTTGCAAGATAAATAATGAAAGGTGCAACTACAAATGAGATACATCTCCCATTGATATCCACTTGTCACTCTTAGGAGAGAACAAGCCCTTTCCAATGACACTGCTATTCATAAAAGCTCCTGTTTGAATTCTTCTCTTGGCATGGAAAGATAGGCTTCTACTTTATAGTCATAGTTTATTTTCAATTTTTAAAAATGGTATTACTGAGCTTATTTACCAATCTTTGTGCCAAATAACTTTGGGCTGTTTACAAAAATCAAGATAATCCACATAGGACAAAAATGTGTCACCCTCAGACATATTCAAAGAATGTGCCAGAGGCTCCAGGAACAGTTCCAAGGAAGAGTTTAAAAAATTCTCTTTTTGAATGATGGGAAACACAATTTAAATGAGTGTTTTGCTTGCCAAGGTAACTACTCACTACGAAGGATGGGACAACACCCATTTAGATGTGTTTATTTAAAGCTCACTCACATTACTTGATGGTTAAACCTTGGGTTAATTTTCTAATAATGATGACACATGCAGCGTTCTTGTTACACAACTCTCTTGTGTTTCACCATCAATATAAAATAGGTGGATTCACATTCTTTCTTCCAAATGAAGCAGGCAAGGACTTTTTCATACTTCCCTTTCCTTACTAGGAAAGGAAGGGAATTCCCAAGCTCTCCCATAGCACAAACTTCTTACATTACTGTGATGTTTTAAATGCTTCAAAGCACTCTGACCTACTTTACTCTATCTCATTCACTCCTCACAATAGCCTGACTAGGAACACCCAGTCTTAACCTCACTCTCCTTGGACAGAAAGGAGAAGCTGATGGGAGGGAATGCTTCAATAAAATTTTCTCAAAGCCCCACTCACCATGGCCACTTGCAGAGCCAGGACTGGAAACTCCCCAGTTTGACTCTTAGTGCAGTGCTCTTTCTGATATGCCAAAATAGTTGTAGTGCTCAGAACGCCTGGATGTGTGAAGACAAAGTGGAGGCCAGAAACTAATTGTATTTAGCCTCCAGGCCCTGTGGAGTCCTGCTGTTTTGTTTGTCCGTTGTTTGGTCTATTTTCCCATCCCCTTCCAAGCTGGCTGCCATCTTGAAGTTCCCCAGCTGTTAGGCTGATTCTAGTAAGATGTTCCATACTCTGTACTTTGAGCTCAGGCTCTGATTGTAAAATGTTCCAGGTGGCTGATGGACAAATAAAAGAAGAGGAGCTGAGCTTAGGGCAGAATTTAACAGGTGTATAAAGCCCCACACTTTAGTCACTTAAAGTGAATTAGATCTAAAAGGGCAGCATTTTTTTTGTAATGAAATTTGTTGTTGCCCTTACCAGAATTAGCTTCTTATGTGGAAACTTTTGTATGAAACCAGACATGTGGAATTGAATCGTGAGTGGTTTTGTTTGTTGTTGTTAATAGTGGAAAACATGACTTTAATTATTGGTTTTATTTTTCTCAGCCTCTGAAAAAGATCCATGAGCTGCTGATGACCAGCTGAGAGCTCAGCTCATTGGAAGCCAGAAGCCTGTACTGTTGTGAAGACACACACCAGAACCCTGTAAATGCTCACACCTTGCCTGCTGCATCAGACCTGCTTCCGGGAAATCTGTTTGTGTAACACTATGCACAAAGCTGAGTCTGTACATCTGATATACTTTCCGAGACACTGAAAACATCCTGCTCACTCCATCTTCTTTATTTTCCCTTAGCACTTTTAAAGTCAGGGATACTTTTTATGTTTTCTTGCCTTTAAATGTCCCTTGCCAGGAAAAAGCAAGGATTCTTAATTAACCTAAACTTTGTTTCTCCAAGGAAGTTCAAGCTGGCATTCTGAATTTATTCCTGCATGTCAAAATACCCTTCTTCCAATGTGGTGGCAGCAGTTTTCTTTCCCTAGAATGCTGGATGAACAGGCTTGGACCTGCTGCTCCCAGCAACCACACTCTTAGCTGGCTGGCTGGCTATAGGTAGCATCACATGTCATGGCTTGCAGAGCTGGCCTTTGCCTCACTGTAAAGTGCCAGGAAGCACCAGCTGGTTGAGTCTATCATTGGACAGTCAGGGCTTACCCAGGGGTGCTGAGAAATGATCCAGTGGCCCATATGGCCTTTGTTAGACTATGGCAGACTGGCTTCCAGAGCAAATAATGTAATCAACTTGTCTTTCTTCACATTCCTGTGTCAGCTGTTAAAGAGAAGAAAGACGAGCTCATGGAAGGATTCAGGGAAAGGTTGCACCTCCTGAGTCAGAATGACACCCTGGAGGGCTTAAAAGATTCTCTTGGCTATGCCGGACCCCAGTGGGGAGATGAGAGGCAAAAACAAAAGCCAGGAGAAGTGGCTCGATGTGTGCCTGGCAATTTTGTAATTAGGATTGCTTGAACTATAATAGGGAAGGTTCCCTTAAGTAACGAGGTCATCCACTATTCTGTCTAAACCAGTCTGACTCATATCAGATTGCTTGTCATTCATTTTGTTTTCCAGAAAAGGCTTGTAGTGCAGTGGACAGAATTTGGGTGAGAGTTTAGTTAGCGGATCCAAGCCTTATCTCTCCTATCTGTAGAATGGGAGTAGTTGTAAGGGAAGATTGCTCGTGGTGTACTCAGTGTCTGTCCATACCTGGGAGAGTTAATTTAGACCATCTGAAGAAGAAACAATGTCTTTATAAGGCCTTCTTTAAAAGCTTGGCAATATTGTCATTGTCATAATGTTCTCTCTAAACCTTTCCTAAGCCCTCTCATCTGTGGTTTAAACATATTTCTTCTCTCTCCCCTGCTCAGCTTCACTTAAAGCTGCTGCTGTGACCCCCAACAGGACCTGTTTCTGATTGCCTGAAAACAACGAGAAAAACAACAGATACCTGTGAAAGTTGTCCCCAAACTAAACTCTGAAGAAGGGCAGGATTTATTAGTAGTCATCAGTAGCCTCAGGAATCACCTTGTCAACCAGAGAGCTGAGGCTAGCAAATGGAAATGTTGGCACAGTCCAGTAAGAGCAGGGGCTTTATTTTCTACGTACCATAAGATTGGAGTGTTTTCATAGGGGTTGTATAAGATGGTGGAGCAGACTTTCAGTTGGTGTTACCATGCTTCTTTCTGTGGCGGTGCTTACTTATCTGTTGGTGAATTGAGATCTGTCCTCAAGGTCATGGTACTAGGGGGTGGCTAATGGCATCCATGTTAGTACTTTAGCCCATGCCTGTGTGCTCGGTGTGTACCTAACCCCAACAGCCACCTTGGACAGCCCTGTGGCCTGTGGGTTGACCCATCAATGATGCAAGTGCTCCTCAGAACAGGCCCACATGCAGGGAAGTGGCTTGGGCAGCTTGGATAAGGAACTTTGGGATCTGGTACCAGCAGTTCAGTGTGAGAGGAAGCTCAGGTCCTTGGGGGTCCCTTGGCCTTGATCCATTTGCAGGGTCAGTATTAGAGAGGGCCAACTGAATCCCCTTAAGCCCTGCCAGGCAGGGTCCTCTCTTGTGCAGAGTGAAGGGTGGGACCAGCTGGGAAGATACCATAAGATAGCATCCCAATTGCCTCCCTTCACAGGAGCCAAGCCAAAGACTCCTAAGTTCTCAGGCTCTTCAAATGGATCCCAATGGGGATCCTTATGAATGTCCAGCTGAAACACCCCACTGAAGTCATTCACAAGCCAGTCCTTGCTTATGGACAGTTTGTGCCCAGCCTCCACACCATAGGAGTCCACCGAGGCCTAGTAGTTGCTGCCTTTGCCAAGACCACCCCAGGCTGAAAGCCTTTGGAGAGAGCACTTTATGAAAAACCAGCTGCATAATGTATAATGTTCTGGACCAATTCTTTGTTATTCAGTCACCTTTCAACAGCAGATACTCAGTGGAAGCTCACTTCTGTCAGGTGTGAGCTAGGGTCCAAAGGAACATTCAGGAGAGGCAGGCAGGAATATCAAACCCCAGCTCTGTCACCTGTGTATCTACAGATATCCTTTTTCAGCCATCTACATTCTCTGAGCTTCATTTTCTTTATCCAAAAAAATAGAACTAATAACGCCCAATAGTGTGTTAATGAGAAGATTAAGTGTGATAACCTGAAAAGCACCTAGCAAAGTGGTTGGCCCAGAGTGATGTCAAGAAACGGTATTCTTTTCTGCCAGGCATTCAAGATTAAAATGATTAAAATGATGACATGGCACACAACTGAAATCCCATCGAGTTGGGAGGCTGGAGCAGGAGGATTGGGTTTGAGGCCAGCCTGGGCAACTTAGTGAGATCATGTCTAAAAAAGAAAAGATGATTTTCAAAAACTAACTGAAATTCAAAATCCAGAATGTATTTTACATTTTCAGAAATCTCAACAGATACAGACAGTGCTTTTTATCAGAAATACTTAAACTGTACTTAGATTTCCTAGAACTTAGTCAAAGCAGTACACCTGTAATTACAGCTACTTGGAGGCTGAGGCAAGAGGATCACAAGGTCCAGCCTGGGCAACTTCATGAGACTATGTCTCAAAATAAAAAGGGCTGCAGATGTAGCGCAATGGTAGAACACTTGCTTAGCATTCATGAGGACCTGGATTCAATCCTCAGTGCCATACACAGGCACACATACAAACAATTTACAGTTGAAAAAGTAGATTTACAAAACCAAATTGTTCCAAATGTACTTAAACATTTTCTAGTAACTGAGTTGAGTATTAGTCTTCAAATTAAAATGGATAACAAAATACAAAATTCAGTTCCTCAGTGACAGTGGCCATGTTTGACACATGCAATAGTTGCCCGGAGCTTGTGGCCATTTCCACAGAATGGGCTGATCCATGGGAAGTGGCCAGGAGCCTCCAGCAAGTGGACAGAGGCATGGCTTTCCAGGCAGATGGAGCAGCCCGAGAGCCAGCATGTGCCCAAGAACATGGAAGCCAGTTTGCTCAGAACCAACGACAAAGTCATGCCTCGGTACTTGTTCATTTGTTCTGGAACCAGTGAAGAGTGCTGAAACTGAGTACTGAACAAATTTTTCCCATAAGAAATAATGTAATTAGAAATAATTTGTGAAAGTTCTCCAGAGCTTTCACATTTTACTGGGCTAATGGCCTTTTATTGGACTAATATAAGCCTTTTGGGCTTAGTGGTATTGCTCTCAACTTTTTTGTGTCCCATGATTAGCTCTTAAAATGCGCAAGTACAAGACAGTAATGAGTAAGTGGGGGGTTTGCTACAGTGCTGAAGCATTTTTTTTCTCATCAGAATGCAGCACGTACAGGGTTTAAGAGGTCCTGAAGCTGAAAAAGACCAAGGTATGACCATAGGAGAGGCTGAAGGGGTAGGGTGTAATCAGATTGGGAAGAATTTGGATACCAGATTAGCATGTTGGGATTTTACTCTGTTGCTAATATTGAGGTATTTTTGGAGCAGGGATTGGGTCATATTGCACTGTTTTAGGGGGAATCCTCTGGTACCGGTGTCTATGAGGACTGAGAGAAGAGAGACACCAGCCCGAGGGAACAGACACAGCAGTTATGGTGACACAGGTGTGCCAAGAGTGGCTGGCTGGTGTGACAGCAAATGTGAAGACTTCACAAAGCCAAACCCCGGAGGATTTAGCAGCCAGTCAGGTTCCTTCAGAGAGGATAGAGAACAGGCCGAGGTGGCCTCTAGGGCTGTGTGCCTGGGAGGTGATCAACACTAAGCTGTTTAAAACGCTGAACTCAGGCCCTGGAGTCTGAATTTTTTTTCTAAACAAAGGTGTAATTTATAACTCTAGCCCAACCCTTTGAATCTCAAGGGTAATCAGGGACTTTGTCCTAGTGTGAGTTTGTGAAGGACACTCCTTAGTTCCAGGGAACTCTTTCAGATCCTGAGTCTGGGCTGGAGCCACATTAAGCGACTCCATTCTGAGAAGTCGTGGGAAGGGCTAGGAGGGAAGCCCTCAGATGCCTGGCTAGCTTTTCCTTACCCCTAACTTCTTCCCTGGGGAAAGCATTCCTTCCCAGGTGAATTCTGGCTTTGCTGTGACTAGGAGGGAGGCTCTGCTCTCTCCTCCTTGGCCTCTCTCCTCCTCCCTGCCCCAGGCCTCTGAGATCCCATCTCTTTGTCCACCAAGTGTCCCAGGGACTCCACAGGCACAGCTGGGGACTGACCTCGGATGGTGCCTTCTCCAGTAAGCCCAGTGCTGCCCTGCAGGAGGAGACAGGTGTGCTTGCACTGGGCAAGGTGCTGGTAGTAGCAGGGGAAAGAGATTAAGGGGAGTGCCCAGTGGGTGCACTGACCAGCTACTACTGAGCAAAATGCTGTGTGCCATGTTGGAGGCAGGTACAGCTGCCCAAGGCCAAAACCTCTCAGCCAGCCAGGGGCTGGGGATTTTTAAGAGGACAAAAAATAAGGGAAATCTGGGGCTGGGTAACAACATGAGGTGAAGACAAGGGGGCCTGGGATATAATGGAATAATGGGGTGAGGAGGGTGGTTGTCTATTGAGCACTTGCTGGGCACCGTCAAAGAGCCTCTCGGCTGTTGCCTTCTCCCCATTTCCCAGATAGGGAAACTGAAGCTTTGAGCAGTAAAAACGTATGTGTCCAAGGTCTCCCTCTCGAGGGACAGTGCTGATTTAAACCCATAAATGCCTGACTCCTGCCACCTTCTTCAGCAGCACGATCTGCAAACCGCCAAGGGTCCTTTTGGGACCACTTAGTGAACCCACACTAACCTGCAAACGTTAGGTTTTATCGTTGCTTTGAGGAATGAGCCAAAGTCATGCTAGCGGTGTGATGTATGCCCTCCTGCTAATAAGAGTGAAGTAGAATATTTAGTAAAAATTTGAAGTGCTAGGGTCAAACCCAAGGATTTAGCTTGGCCTCGAACGTGCCGGGCAAGTGGTCTACCAGTGAAAGTGTCACTCTCAGCTCTGAACTAGACGAACCGGAACAGGTAGTTCCCCCTGCAGGACGTGAGGAGGATACTCAAGCCTCGACTAGGCTCTGCCTGGCTGCAGAGTGGGATCCTCCGTGTGAGGTCTGCATTGTGCAGGGTGGCCTCCACCCCCGTGTGTCCAAGGAGCTTGGATCTGGGTGGGTCTGGGCGGGAGCTCCTCCCGGCGCTAGCTGGGCACTGAGCCCAGACTGGGGCTTTTCTAGGTCAGGCGGTTCTATCTTCAGCCTGGCCAGAAGATACAGTTTGTGTAAACTGCAGACATAGAAGGCATGCTGTGTAAACACAGACTATCTCCCACTCCAACGGTTTCCCCTGGGGAGGCTCCTCCAACTGGGAGGCTGGATTCCAACTTCTTATCAACTTGAGCTTCCTACTCTGATATAAGGAAACTATTAAAGTACGTTTCCTGGTATTGCCTTGACCCCACCAGGATGTGCTCCTGTGGAAGCAAATGTCCCTTTGAGGAGAATTTCTTTTACACTCTCTAAATCCACTACCCAGTCTTGAATCCCCCCATATTAAATAAGACTGCAGGAATTTTGAACATGCTTTTAGCCAAAGCCTATGCCCTTAACATTTACTTTTTACTTTGGCTAGTTTAAGCATGTTTACTTGGCTTTCCCGGCCCTCCTTGAGCAGCCTCACTGCATCTTTCAATTTATTTATAAACTTTGTTTCCTTCCAGTGTCAGTGTACTCTACCAACCCCCACATAGGCCCTGTCACCTCTGTAAAGGTCTCCTTGTGCTTTCTTGCTTCCTCTCACCCTTCTGATTGTGAAAGTCCTACTTTCCTCTCTTTCCAAGTCGTACTGAGGGAAGATGAGAAAGAAATGGTAAAGGCTATCATTCAAATCTACCTAAGAGTGATCAGAACATTCCCTAGCACTCTGACCTTCATTAGTCTCCCTCTTATCTGAACCTGAGTTCCTGTAGAACTCATGTCTCTGTCACATAATTTAGTACTTCCGGTAGCCAGCCTGCAAAATGGCACCCAGTTAGACTCTCAGCCTGGTATTCATGTGCTTCGGTAGCTCCTCCCCCAAAGACAGCACAGACTTGTGTAGCCAGGAAGGATACTGTGATATGCAATGTGACTTCTGGGTGTAGCTCTTAAGAGACATTGTGGCTTCTGCCTTGCTCTCTTAGACCACTTGCCTTGGAAGAAGTCAGCTGCCATGTTGTAAGGATACTCAAGCAGTCCTCTGCAGGGACTATGTGGTGAAGAATTGAGGCCTTGGGCCGATAGCTAGCAAAGAGGTGGCAGCCATGTGAGCAAGCCACCTCAGAGGCAGAGCCTAGTCAAGCTCTAGGCAGGCTTCAGGCAATAGTTTGTAATCTCATGAGAGATCCTGGGCTAGAACCATGAAGCTGGAAGTTTTTCCCAAATTCTTGATCCATAGGATCTATGTGAGATAATAAATGTTTATTATTGTATTAAATGCTAAGTGTTGAAGTTATTTGTTATGCAACAATAGATTCAGAATTTAAATAATAAAAGTAATAACAGTACTGCCAGTTAACAATACTGAACGTTTGATAGTGCTAGGCATTGCTCAGGACTTTTTTGTTTTGTTTTGTTTTGGGAGGACCAAGTTCTCACTAAATTGGCCAGGTTGGCCTTGAACTTGCATTCCTTCTGCTTCAGCCTCCTGAGTCCTGGAATTTTGAATTATAAGTATATACCGCCACATCCATTTCTGTGTGGCATTTTATAAGTACTATTTCATTTAACAATATAGTCAGTGCAGCAATGAACACTGACAATGTGGCAAAACTGTCCAAAGTGCTTCATATACGTTATTGCATGCTGTCCTCATGATGGCCTACGAAATGGGTACTGTGATGATTACCACTCCATTTCATTTATAGTAGTAAATCAAGGTATATTCCAAGATATTTCAAGGAGACCTGAAACCATGGCCAGTTCTGAACCCCTTTATACCATGTGTTTTTTCTCTACACACACACATACATACATACATATAATAGAGTTTGGTTGGGCACAATGACAAGTCAATAACAACAGCTAATAAGGGGCTGGAGATGTAGCTCTGTGGTAGAGTACATGTCTAACACTGCAAGAGCCTAGGTTCCATCCCCCACACTGAAGAAAAATCTAATAATAAAATAGAACAATTATAATAATGTACTGTAATCAAAATCATTTAAAGCCTATGAATTGGCCAAGTATATTGGCACATTCCTATAATCCCAGCTACCTGAAAGCCTGAGGCAGGAGGATCAAAAGTTTGAGGCCAGCCCAAACGGCTAGCAAGACCATGTCAAAAACAAAAAAACCTTATTAATTTTTGCTGTTTTGCAGTACTGGGCTTTTAACCCAAGGCCCCACAGTGAGCCACATCTCTAGCTCTTTTTATTTTTTATTTTGAAGCAGCCTTGCTAAATTGTCAAGATTCTCCTCAAACTTGCCATTCTCCTGCCTCAGACTTATGCATAGCTGGGATTACAGGCATGCAGCACTGTATCTGGCTTATGAATTGTTTACTTTGGCAATTTCCATTTAATATTTTCCGATAGTGGTTGACCTCACGTTACTGAAACCACCAATAAGGATGGACTATTATATGCAGTCTGCCCTCAGTATCCTCAGGTTACAAATCCACAGATCCAAGCAAATGCATCTCAAAAATATTCAGGAGAAAAATTGCATCAGCAACTGAACATATATGGACTTTTGTAATGACTCCCTAAATAATGCAGTATAACAACTATTTACATCATATTACATATTGAAAGTAATATGAGATGATTTAAAGTATAGGAGAGAATTGTATAGGTTATATGCAAGGACTGTGGCATTTTATGTAAGGGACTTGAACATTGGAAGATTTTGGTATCCTCAGGGGGGTCCCAGAACCAATCCTCCAAGGATACCAAGTGACAGCTTTATAAGGAAATTAAGACAAAGAAGACTTTGGTAAAATGTCCAGGGCATATAGTTTGGGATTAGAGTTCAACTTGCCCTGAAAGCCTGTGGCGAGCCCTTGTCCCTGTGTTGGTTTGTTGTTCTGGACGTGGGTCTTGGCTCTCCACCCATCAGACTCACTTTTTGTCGTGACTGTGTCTTTTGTCTTTGCTTCCCCGCCACGATATGCATGTGATAAATGCTGCAGCCTGCAGTGCCCCTTAGCTCAATGCCTCCTTCAACTTCATTATGGCACTTTTTGCCTGTAAATGTGGTAAAGCTTTTCTGGGCTCAGGCTCAACTGGTGCCACACAGAAACATTGAGACATGGGGACTTGGAGACAATGCTACTGCGTGAAGGAAAAAAAAAATTTTTTTTTGAGACAGGGTTTGTTCTGTATATTGTCCAGGCTGGCCTGGAACTCACCATGTAAGCTAGGCTGATGTGAACTTGTGGTTCTTCTGCGTCAGGCTCATAAGTGCTGGAAATGTATTTTTTAAGCCAGATACATGAGGAGTCTCACTGACCAGTTTATCCAAACAGGCTATTACTCAACTTGAGACTGAGGTTGTGCTGTGTCATGGGATTTGACATGTGACCATTCATGTCCTTTGATCCTCCATGATTCCATCTTGTCCATTCTGGGATATGTAGCTACCATATATCCTGAGAACATGAAAAGTACCTTCCCTTAGCTGGGCACAGTGGCAAATGCAGGTAATCCCAAGCATGCTGGGAGGCTGCAGCAGGAGGATCACAAGTTCAAGCCCAATCTGGGATACTTAGCCAACACTACAGGAGCCTTTCTCAAAATAAAAAAATAAAAAGGGCTGGGGCTGTAGCTCAGTGTGAAGGCCCTGAATTCAATCCCCTGTACTGGAAAAGCAAACAAAAACAAAAATCAAAAAAATAAACCTCTATTCAGACACTCAGAAGAACCTTTGCAAGCTATCATACTTATATTCACAGTCTAACTCTATTTTATGTTATAAAAGAATACAAAAGCCTGAGTAATTTATAAAGAAAAGTACTTATTTCTTACAGTTCCAGAGGCTGGGAAGTCCGAGGTCAGAGAGCTGCACCTGGTGAGGGCCTTCTTGTTCATGGGGACTCTCTGCAGTCTTAGAAGCTGTGCAAAGCATCCTGTGGTGAGAAAGAACGAGTGTGCAAAAGCCTTCTTTCACAAGCACAAGGACCCGAGTTTGATCCCCGGTACCAAAAAACATAAAAAGCCTTCATGATCCAGTCACCTCCCAAATATCATTACTGTATTCTTTAGGGATTTGGTTTCCCACACATGAATTCTGGGGGACAAATATCCAAACCATAGCCAGCACCATTGGCACATAAACATCAGTTCACTTCAGCTCCTGGCTCCTGGCCCGGGATTTGGAGCTTCAAGAGCCTGGAAGAAAGTGGAATGGAGTCTGGAAAACTTTGGAGCATACCTCCTGGATGGGTGACCAGCAAGCCTCCAGCTGAGGATGGTCATTTGTGTCATTTTGCTCCATCATGGACCTGACAACTCAATAACTTCTTCAAAAATTCATCCCACCCAACATAGGTTGAGTTCTTCCTAGGAGCAGATACCAGATCACAAGGACTAATAAGGCAAGGTCCTTGCCTTCCAAAGTGCCAGCTGTTAGTGGAGAAGACTGATAAAAGTGTAATAAATTATTCAGATCGTTTTGAGGGTCTGGACAAGGAAGCAGAGAGGTGAGCGAGGGCTGAGTGTGGAAATTGTTGAATTCAGGTTTTGAAGTTGGAGCAGCATGGTCGCAGCTGCTTAGAGGTTCCTCCAGGGCTTGCTCAGCCACTTGCATCTGGAAGCAGGATGTCAGGCTCAGTGGAAAGTGTTGCTTTTATATCCTGTTCCAAGGGCTTCCTGGAAAGACAGAAGAAAGGAGAAGAAAGCACAGGCTGTTGAGGCCAGCCTGCTTCTTTCCACAAAGCCATGACTCACCCTTGGGAAACAGGCAACAGAGCCCAGCAGATCATTCCCAAACTTTACTTGGTTGTTTTGATCGTGGCATGAGACCTCAGATGTCCCACGAGCTAGTCCTTGTGTGTGCACAGAAGCTACGCAGGGCTCATGGACACTCCTTGAACCCCAAACTCTCTCTGGACTCTTGGTACCTTAGTTGACCCAAATTCCCTGACTTGGTGACCAGCTCTGGGAGCCTGTGGGGTGTTAGACCCTGTGCTAGGAACTGAGAGTTTTGAACATGCTTATGACATGTCCTTGGATTGCCTCAGATTTATAAATCATCGAATGATGGGGTCACTATATCCACTTGGAAATACAATTTTAAAGATCCCCAGGGAGACTCTAAATTCAGTAAGTATTCCAAAGTGCCCAACCTCCAATGAGGAGGTTTTTGTATTTGTTTGTGTGTAGTGTTTATTGGACATTGAACCCAGAACCTTCAAACTGAGATACATACCCAGCCACCTCCCACTTTGAGACAGCCTAAGTAGGTTGCTAAGTTGCCCAGGCTGCACTTGAACTTGTGATCTCGCTGCCTCAGCCACCCAGAAGGCTTGGGATTACAAGTGTGTATCACTATGCCCAAGCTGAGGAGGTATTTATGCTATTCTCAGGGGCAGTTTCCAGGATTCCATACCAAAGTATCCAGACCTGGTGCCTTAAAACAACAGAAATTTATGGTTTCACAGTTCTGAAGGCTGGAAGTCCAAAATCATGGTGCTGGCAGAACAATTTTCTCTGAGCACTCCAGGGGAGAACCCTTTCTCTCCTAATTTGTGGTGCTTGCCAGCATCCTTGGCATCATCCTTTTCAAATGGCTATCTTTTTCCCTTTGTCCCCACATCATCTTTTTCCATGCCCAAATTTCCTATTTTTAAGGACATTAATCATATTGAATTAGGGTCCACCTGACCTCATTCTAACTTGATACCTCTGTAAAGACCCTATTTCCTAATATGGCTACATTGTGAGCCACTGAGTGTCAAGACTTAAATATACCTTTTTAAAATTTATTTTTATTTTTTAATTTTTTGGCACCGGGAATTGAACTCGGGTCCTTGCACTTGCGCAGCAGGCAGTGAAACCACTGAGCTAAATCCCTGGCCCAACATGCCTTTTTTTTAAGAGGACAGGACATAATTCATCCCATAAAACCGGTCTTTTAAGACTACTCTTGACAAGACCTATAGCAACATAAAATAGTGACCAGAAGTACACAAATCATGCAGCCAGAAAGACTTGCTTGTTTTTGTTTTGTACCGGGGATCGAACTCGGGTCCTTGAGTTTCAGAAAGACTTGTTTTGACACCAGGTCAAAACCTCTTACTAGTTCTCTGAACTTGGCATATTTCAGGAACCTTAGCCTCCTCTAAAACAGGGACAATAATACCCCACAATTTTAGTAGGAAAGAGTCACTGCCTGCACCAATAAATACTAAAACACACACAAACATACACACGTATATACACTGAATACAGTCCTTGCCTTGAGAAGCAGGAAAGTCAAGATGGACCTGAACCAGTAATTAAAATTTCCATGATACCAGAAATAATGGGCATATGTTCAAAGTATGGTAGAAGCAGAGAGGAAGACTTGATGGACTTCCCAGAGGAGGTGACACTTGCAGGAGGGTTTTAAAGGTTCAACAGAGGTTTGGCAGGCACGTGCATGGAAGTGTGAAATAATGGGCCCCTTCAGAAGCCACTGGTATCACAGGTCTAAAAGTATAAAAGAAGGGGGGGGCACAGGAAGAGCAGGCAGAGAAATGATCACGATAACTTCATATGCATGGATTTCATTTATTTCCTGGGGAGACATCGCCAAGCTTGGGAGTATCAAGCAAGCTGTGAAGGTACAAGATGACACAGTCCAACTGGGTAGCCAAGGAGATATTAATGCATGAACTTTGTAGAACCGGTTTGAGAAGGACTTGGAGGGCCGGCACAGGGCAGTGCAGTATCCTAGTGCTGTCACCAGCAGGGAACTGTGAAGTCACCTAGGCTGGAAGCAGCAAGAGGCGAGAGCAAGAACTGACTGACATCTCCAGTGCCCGTGGGAGCAGCCACCTGACAGGGGCTGGGCTTTGGTGCATGGAGGCAGCCCAGGAGCATGGTGATTGGACAACCCAGCCTCTTCCTGCCCTCTAATCTCCCTACCTAACTGGAAATCCAAAGGCAAGGAAGACTCGGCAGTACAGTCTGTGTAATCCAGCTCCCCAAGACTTGATGTGGGGGGAGGAGCTGGAGACAGGATCTGGAAAAGCCAAGGACAAGTGTCCAGGCCAAAGGACGGAGGATGCAGGATTGGAAATAATCTCACAAGAGTTGCTTTGGTTCTAAACTAAAAACCCCAGGGAAGGTTTGGAAGCCATGGACAGAGCTGAAAGAAATTTAGGGGGGAGAATTGACCAGACTTGGTAACCATATAATTGTGGGTGATGAGGGAAAAGGAAAGGTATAGAAGGTTGGGCTTTGGGGAAGGCCATAACTGTTGACATTGCTGATTCAGGAAGAGAATCAATAGGAAGAGAACGTTTTCATTTTGCTTGAGGGCCTGGGCTGGGTATGGGAGATGAAGTGATGCTAATAAGCTCAGATGGGGACTTGCTGAGTTGCAGAAGGGTCATCCTAGTCAAAATATTCCTAGGCCACTGGTAATGTGTATCTAGAACTATGCTGTCCAATACAGAAGCCACTAGTCACATGTATCTTTTAAAATTTAAGTGAAGTAAATTAAATGAAATCTAAAATTCATTTTCTCAGTCACAGTAGCCACATTTCAAGTGTTCAGTAGCCACATGTGGCTGGTGGCCACCATATTGGACAGTGTTTTGTAGAATGTTTTCATTGTCACAGCAAGTTCTTTTGGACAGCACTGGTCTAGCAAATGGGGAATAGAGCTGCAGTAGGGCTGGAATAGAGTTTAAAGAGTAGTGGCAATAGTTCTTCTCTAAATGTCATGTAGAATTCAGCCATGAAGCCATCAGGGCCTGGGCTTGGAATAGAGATTTAGAGTCATCCACATATAAAGGGGTTCCCATCACAGGAGGGTGGGGGCAGCCTGGAGAGCAGGGAGAGCGAGAAGAGAAGTAAAATAAGAGTGGAGTCCTACAAAACATATACACTCACTGGACACCTCAAGGACCCAACAAGGAAGGCCAAGAACCAGCTATCAGATACAGAATCAGAATAAAGTCATATCCCAGAAAGCCAAGGAGGGGCCTCAAGGAGGGAGAGATGAGCCATGTGGAACGTAGCAGACAGAACAAGAGAAGGAAGCAGGGTATCACTTGGAGTTGGCACTGGGCAGGTCATTTGTGGAGAGAGCAGTGTAAATGGGATGGTGGATATTCAATCCAGACTGCAGCATAAGGGAGGACACAGGAGAAGGGGATGTGGAGAAAGCCAGAGACAGCCACTTTCCCAGAAAGCTGGGAAGAGAAGGACAGTAGCAGGGGAAGCTGGGGGGAGGGGTCCACATTAATTGTAAAAGATGACTTCAGTTTTTCCCCACTTAAGAATCAAGATATATCACGTTCGGGTACAAATTCTCAATGATGAACATAAGATCTACCTAATGGTAGCAATAAACTCAATTAAAAAAGATGACAAGTAATTTGTAGAGAGAAGGGAAGACACATACACACATACACACAGAGGGAGAGAGCAGCAGTGAAAGTGGATATGTGGAAGGAAACAGTCGTGTGTGTGTGTACACACACACACACACACACACACACACACACACACAGAGCTGGGAATGCCCTGGAATAGGAAAGGACAAGAGCAGGTGAAAACTCATCTGGTGGGGGAGGCTGGCGTTAGGCCTGCCAGCTACTTAGTCCCCTGAATGCCATGTCACCTGCTGAGAATGAGGCAAAGCAGTTTTGGTTGGGGCCTTGAGAAGAGAGACTAATGTGAGGAACAGTTGAAAAGGAGCTGCCAAGCTCCAGAGGTTGTGCAGTATGGAGACCCCAATCAGATGGCAAGACTTGGGATTCTCCTGAGGGGATTTTGTGTCTGTGGAGGATTTGAGGGTGAGGCATCAGCGTGACCAGGGTGAGAGGACTCCAAGAGTGAAGAAGATGGAGTTTGAATCTCCTTGTCTAAATAAAGAAAGTGAGACTTGTGGATGGTAAGTGGAATCCTTGCAGGTGCTCATGCTTTCATTTCCCTTGCATTTCCTGGAGCAGTCATCTTCCTGCATCCTTCCATTCCTGAGAAATTCACAGGCAGAGGGGTTGGAAGCTTTGGAAAGTCCCTTGCTTCAGAAGGTCCCAATTTGGCCACTTGCTTGGCTCCCAGATCTGCAGCTCGTGAGAGGTGGTGGCTGCTGGTGGCAAAATAAAGGCATGGAGGTCCAGGAAGACTGGGCCTGGGCCTGTCACAAGAACACTAGGGGTGCCAAATACCCGGTGTCCATGAGGGCCATCAGCTGCTATCCACTTGGCCCAAGTATCCTAACTATAGCATCCTCATAAGGATGTTATGAGAGTTAAGAGTTGAAAGGTGCAAGGATCTAGCACTCTGTGGACACCCCATAAAGATGGGGAACTATCCTTCAGCATCGTGTGCATTGGCCCTGGAGGGTCTGACAAAGCAGTGAGGCCTTGAGGACAAGGTAGCTGCAGCTACAACAAGTGAGGGTGTATGGTGTGGCATGAGGGCACTTTGGGCCTCTCATTCTGGAGCAGGGACCTCTTTACGTGGAACATGGGCAATGTGGGAAGTGGGGGCAATGTCTTGAAATTGTTTTGGGCAGTACTAGGGACAGAGCCCAGGACTTCATGCATGCTAGGCAAGCACTGTACCCCTGAGCCACATCCACAGCTCAAGAGGCAGCAGGTCTTGACATGAGGGCCTCTCAGGGATGGAGGGATCTGTCTTGAGTGGCCACT